ATAGGAAGATGGCAGAGAAAGTTCTTTGGTAAGCATTCCCAGCATAACATTAAGAATAGAAGAACTTCAGGGGCACCTGAGTGGTTCAGTGGGTTAAGCCTTTGCCCTCGGCTCAGGTCATGATCTCAGGGTCCTGGGATCGAGCCCTGCATCGTGCTCTCTGCTCAGCAGGGAGCCTGCTTCCCCCTCCCCCTCTACCTGCCTCTCTGCTTACTTGTGATCTCTCTCTCCCTCTCTGTCAAATAAATAAATAAAATATTTAAAAGAAAAAAAAGAATAGAAGAACTTCTAAAGCACTATTATTCCTTGAGGAGCATGGGTGGTGGGCAGTTAAAAGTAGCAGATGTCACTACAAATGTCCACGCCCTTGGTTATTATGATACTAAGATGTGGATATGTGCCAGCTGCGTAACATGAACTCTGAATATAGCAAGTGTTTAATAAGTGGTAAATATTAGTAGTAGGCATAATTCTGGAAAGTTCAAATATCTTTTTCCTCTCAAGAGTGCTAACTGGTCTTTTTTCTAAAGAGTTATAAGTAATTATGAAAAACGGATATGATTGTAGGAAAATACGCACATATACAACCTAGGGCTACCACATTTTATTTAAGGACCAAAGTCCATAGTTTCATTCTAGTCATAGTAATTATGTCCTGAGTCTTTGTGTATCTGCAACAGTGAAGCATAATTCACTAGCCATGGGAACCAATAGTCAAAAAAGCGTGCCTCTTTTCCCAAAGTTCCGAGTTAGAACCTGAATTTACTTATATTTGGGGAAGGACACAGACAGGAAAATTAAAGAGCTACGAAAAGAAAACCTTCGATTTTCTGAGAGTAATGTGGAATCAAATTGTCCTTACTTTAGGATGGGATTCTAAGCGCACAGCATCCAAAAGCTTTTGGTTTGTAATTTTGGGGTTTTTGTATATGGCAGGGAGGGAAGTAGTTAAAAAAAAAAATCCCTAAGTATAGTGTTCTAAATCCTGAGTCCTTTGCAAATCAAAGCTTGCTGCCCCTGGCAGAGCAAGAATTTCTGCGGCGACAGTGCTCTGTGGCAGGCACGGCGATGTCAGACACCAGGTTCTCCAGGCAAACATTGGTTACTGTGTTGGGCAATGAGGGGATTGAGATGTTTGTAATGGCTTTGGGAATTTCATTGGCAGTGGCTGTAATTGGTGATGATGAGGTTTGAGAGACAGAAAGGAAGGGGCTGGATTCACATAAAACCCACACAGATTGTCTGGACCCAGAGCCATGGGAAACAGATTATCTTCCAGTGATTTTTAAGCTCTCTTGGAATCTCTGAGTATATTTTTCTTGATAACTCTTTATGGCAGATGCAACCAGAGAAAATGAATTAAAATGGAGGTAATGAATTATTGGCAGCGAAGAACAGTTCTAATGGGGATGAATCATTGAAGGAAGAATACATAGGTGGATAGCAACTTTATTTAAACTAAGAGTGGCAACTAGGCTTGGAAGCACTGTTACTGATTGAGTGATTGATTGCTTGACTTCGTTTTAGCTAACGTTTAGTGAGCTTGCCCCGTACACCAGGAACACAGCTTCACTTTTTCTTTCCTTAATTTACTTATTTGAGAGATAGAGAGAGAGAGAGAATGCAGGGGTTGGGAGAGAGACAGAATCTCAAGCAAACTCCCCACTGAGCTCGGAGCCTGACCCGGGGCTCAATCTCATGACCCCGACATCATAACCTGACCCAAAACTAAGAGTCAGACGCTCAACCACTGAGCCACTCAGGCACCCCCAGAGCTTCACTTTTAACATTACACTTCATGACAAGAAACTGTGTTTATCCCAGTTTACAGATGGAAAAATGGAGGCTCGGAAAGAGGAAGTAATACACACACACACACACACACACACACATCTCTATGACTATAAGTGTAGGAGCTGGGAGTCACAGCTGTGCTCTGGGGAGAGTTAGTCCTGGTCATTCCATGCTCTGCCATCGACCATCCTTGGAGTCTAATCACTGTTGGGGTGGGGGGGCGCTACTGGCAAAATGTGTTTCTGTTGCCTGGGAGGAACATTATATGCATACAGAAGATCTGCAGAAATCAGACCTCTGGGAAGTAGGGTACAGGGCCAGTTAACTGGGGGAAAAGGCCATGAAAATGTTGAAGAGCGTATCTGTGGGGTCTGCAGTGGTGGTTGGGCTTATGTTGGGGACAGAAGTGGAGGTACTGTTGGGGACACAGTCACCCAAACCACACAGCTTCAGGGAATAAATAGTATAGTATTAGAGGAGGCAGTGGGACGCTGAGAGGAAAATAGTAAATATCCTTCAATCTCAGAGTCTAGTACTCTTCTTAGAAAAAGAAAAAACACTCTATATCATATCTTTGGCCAATCAAAATTCATATAACTTTCTTAGAATTTGCTTTCAGTTCTTGTGATGAGTTCACTAGATTGTTTTTCACTCAATACTAGGACCCTGAGCTGGTTATGGCACATACGGGCCATTTCTCAAGGTCCTTGTAATGAAGTCACCAACAATTAATTTCCAATTGATTACCTTTAGAAGTATATTCTCAACCTCTTTTTTGTTACTACCCTCTAAGGAGTTTTTTAGACCATTTCTTCCCCTAATTGCCCTTCTCCCATAAAATTTTAATACCACTGCTAGACTGTATATTTGTTTAAGTACTGTAAGCTTTTGGCAAGTCAAAAAGCATTTTCATATCTAAGATCCATTCCCTCAAACACCCAAAACAATTGTTGCTGCCTTATGAGCGGTCTTACCTGCATGGATAAGTCATGCTTTAGAACTACCCCACAGTGATGGGGACCCTTCCAAAGAGGCTGTTTGCCTCTTGTGATTGCCTTCTGCAGTCCCGCAGTGAACACGTATCCCCTTACAACCTCCCTTCCCTAAGTAACCGAAAGGGGGGTGCAGAAAGCCCAGTCACAACAGGAAACTCCAAGGAGGCATGCTCGCCTTGTTTCTAACACAAATCAGGGTGACTCTGGGACACAACTGCCAGCTTCGGTTGCTGGAAATGAAATGGACCCTTCAGTCATGTCTAATTGAAAAAAAAAAAAGTATGTTTGAAAATTCTTTTTCTTTTTACTTTAAGGAGGAGCAGGGTTGAAGTATCTCTCTGTCAAATGTGGAATAATGATCAATAACGGTGTTTAAGGCCCCTCTCCTCTACCACTGTCCGTTAAGTGAAATCAACTATCTCGTGGGATTTTTCTATTGCTCTTTGTTGCGTCCGGTAATTCTATGCTTTGTGTGTATATTTCAAAAAGGATGTTGTCTGGGAATGCTAAGCGTATGGGTCGTCACGTGCTCTGGTCTGCTCGTAACCAAGTACTACACACTGAATGGCTTCAACAACAGAAATTTATTTTCTCACCGTTGTGGAAGATAGAAGGCCGAGGTCAAGGTGTCAGCAGGGTTTTGTTTTGTTTTGTTTTTTGGTTTTTTTCTGAGGACTCTTTCCTTGGCTTATGGATGGCTATCTTCTCCCTGTGCCTTCACTCATCCCTTCTGTGCATGTCTCTGTCCTAACCTCATCTTTTTATTGAGGACCGCAGGCATAGTGGATTTGGCTCACCCTAATGATCTCATTTTAACACAGACCCTATCTCCAAAAACTAGTCCTATTCGGAGGTACTGGGGTGTTAGAACTGCAGCATATGAATTTTGGAGGACATGGTTCAGTCCGAATCTAACATCATGGAGGAAGGGTATAAAAAGAGCTTATGTGAACCACAAATGCAGACTTTGACTAAGAGGTATCTGTTCAAATCCTTACTGTTTCTTTTGAGTCCTGTGTCCTCTGAACTTAAATTCTCCTTAAAACTCTGTCCCAAAGGACCGTTATGAGAAGTGTATCTAATTAGTTAATAACAGTTATAACTAATAAATACATATACATGTCTAGCTCAGCATCTGGCTTCTAATTTCTCTTTCTTCTTGAATATGGATTCAGACTTCAATGCATTGGGAATAATAAAACTAAGCAAGTCACTTAATATTATTAATATCAAGAGGGGGAAAGAAATGAGTTTATTCAACAACTATTATATACTGAGTACTCTTATGCACAAAACTAGGACAAAAATTTGGTTTTTACGTAAGATCTGTAGATTAATTATTCAATAGTGTTAATTGTGCATGCAATTTTTGTCAGGTACAGAAAGTAGTCTTCTTGTCTTCTGTGCAGCAAAGGCCCTTCTTACTACCCATACCCACAGTTTCCCGTATTTCTTGCAGTGGATTCCCTGGCATTGGGGGGTTTCTACAGGATCCAACAGAAAAAAAAAAAAAAAAAGTGTCACAAGTTGAATTACTGTTGTGGCAACCAGATTTTTTTCTGCTGTCGTCAGAAACATTCTTACCTGTGTCCGGAGGCTGTCATGTGGTATTTCTCTGCTGGCCTACATTACTAATTCAGCTAATTGCAGCAATTACATGAAGAGATTGCTGCTAGCAAGAAAAGCCATTATGCTGTTCCTGAACAGACTGCATTCCACAGCATTCATTAATTACGCCTGCCTATAGATTCACAACCACCAAATCATACACTTGAGACCACACAACATATACATTGAAACCCTCTCAAAGTTTGCAGTGCCTTTCCATGCTGGCTTGCACTCTTATAGGGCCCACCATTTGTATAACCCTCCTCTTGCCCTTCAGATTGTCAAAATTGAAATCAAAATCAGAATAGAGACAGGCTGTACAATGTGACTTACAGGGATGGAGTCTTGAGCCTCCTGGAACCACCTGGAGTCATTCAGCTTTTCATAAAGTCCATACAGGTTGTCTAAACCCTTAGCCATTCACAGCTGCGTAAGAGTTTAAAATGCTCTATCCTCCAGCATGCCCTCTTTAGAAAAGAGAAACATAATAATGATGGGAAGCAGGACATCGTGATAAGTCTTTGATGCTTCTGTTCGTTGGTTTCCTTATCTCTCCCTCTCTTCTCTCTTCCCCTTCCCCTACCCCATTATTTTTCCTTTGACACACACAGCCAACATCAGATGACCTTGTTTCATCTGCTGAATGTTCAAGCGATGACGAAGACTTCATTGAATGTGAGCCGAGTACAGGTAGGTTAGGTCAGTCTTGTTTTGCTTGCTTTATTTTTACATTTGCAAAAAACAATACATACATATATGTGAATATACATGTGTTTTATATATATTATAGTGTGTTAATGTATTTCCTATATCTATATATGTATAAGCATGCATATATAAATATTAGTATATAATCAAAAGCATCAAATCCCATGGAAGGAGCAGATAAGAAGCCAGGGAAATTTAACATCAATTCCTGACACCCAAAGAAAAATCTATGGTGTACCACCTAACATTGAGCAGTTGGGCACCCAGATTAACTATGGGACCAGGAAAAGTACAGCAGCCCTGGTGACTATGAAATTGACAAGGGGTGGTGGGGGCATGAAGATGTCCATAACGGAATAACATCAAAACACCATGAACCCAGACAGGAGCTATAAATATCATTTAAACATCCTGAAATGTTTCTGAGCCTGCGTGGAAAACAGAATAAAACCAGAAACCCAAAGCAAACAACAAAAATGAAACAACAACAACAACAAAAATAAAAAGAAAACACAATTTCCATGGGATTGCAACAGCAGTTAACATGGTATTATATTTATACTAATTTTGTTCATTCTGCGTTTAGAGAATTGTGCAGTAATATAGCATAGGAAACACAAAATTAGTACGGAACCATGCCATGTCAACGGCTGAGATGCTTCAAAATGTATCTACTGTGCTGAAGTTAAGAGGACTTTGGCCACTCGAGGCTTCAGTGTGTTACCCATTCGCACCCGGATACATTTTGATATTTTATGGTCTTTCTTTATAGTGAGCTATATATTGTCCAGCAGACAACTGCAGTCCCTGATTATTTCCTATCAATTTTTCCAAGTCGTCTGTTTTGAGACTTGCTATAAGTTAACATTTATATATATATAATAGAGAACAGATATCATCGAATTTCTGTGTATGTTTAATAGAATTAAAAGCTGGAGTTGGGTTAGGATCTTATTTCTGCAAAGGCTGAGAGAAATAAATAGAATATTCTAGTTGTTTCTTTGGGTTGTTTTATTTTATTTTTTTCTTAAAAAAAAAAAAGGTGAGCCATGAAACATTTTCTTTTGCTTAATTCTAGAGAAATTCAAGGTTTGAACAAAAAATATATAACAAAAGTAAAAACCTTCCATTTCTTACCCCAAGATGATTTACGGTTTTTTTGTTTTGTTTTGTTTTGTTTTGTTTTTTTTCCTTTTCAAATTTTGTTGAAGTTCTGACTGGTATCTTGCAAGTGGCTTTGAATCAAGGAAGTTCTGTGGGTTCCTATTTTTAGCATTACATGGGGACATAATAATAGGTAGGGCCTTTCCATTTTGGAATATGACCTGTTCCTATTTAGGAGCTCAGTTGTATAGAAGAAAATAACTCTGGCATGGTGGTCAGAATTTTTCAGATTATTAGATAATAATCTTGATATACTACATGAGGTTTTAATAACACTCGAAGGCAGATACATCTATACCAGAATTGGGTATCGTCACTCATTAATTCATCCATTCATTAATTCAGTAAATATTTCTGAGCAGTAGGACAGGATATAGTATATCTCTAGCGTTGAGGCCTTCCTGTCCTACTGATTTCCATAAGCTAGCTATTGGAAAATAGAATTAGGAGCTTTGTTACCTAAATTTCCTCTCCAAAATAATTCAGTTCAGCAGATATTTTTTGAGTTAACTATATGTTAGGCAGGTAACAGATATTAGGAATTCAGATATGAATATGTCATGACCCCTAAGATACGTATTAAATTAACTGATTTTGTGGCCAATAGTTTAAGATACCTAGACTTTACGTTGAATTTTTTGTTTATCCTTTCTCTGGTTATCTTGCTTTCATAGCAGTAATATCTGTATAGATGCAATGTTGTTGTTCAAAACTTGATTTTAAGTCTTTTTACAAAAATTAAGTCTTGGCCATTACAAAATATCGCCACTGTCTCCCGCTACTACCTTCCTGCTTCCTACGTGTGGTCATCACCATAGCAACCTCCCTAATAAAACAGAGGGCTTTTCCAGATCTGCTTCACAAGGTCTACAGCTCCAGGTTGTGGGTGTATATTCCCATTTGGTATTGAACTCGAACAGGCCCAAACCTGAATGCTCCAAACTAAGTCCATTTGCTTTTTTTTTTTAGTGGCTGCACAGGTGTTTCATCTGATTCAAAAGCAGAGGACAGAAATTCAATGCCAGGATTTCTTGAGTAATATAATTACATGGGGCAGGTGGGAGATAAAGGCAGGTTTTAAAACAATCTGTTGTGTTTAGCAAGGGGGTGTGGGAGGGGGTTATATAAATAAGGTAAGTGACACAGTGTTGGCCCTGAAGGAGCTAACATGATTCCCTCTGCCTGGGACTATTCAACTCCTCACATTGGAAGAACAAGTATTTCTTCTTTCTAAATTTATTTATTCCATAAAGTATTCCTGATAAGTGATTCAGATATACACGGAAATACGTTAGAGGCATATTTAATACAGGAAGGAGATAGATATTCCTACTGACACAGAGATTTTACCCTGGGGGCCTGATTAACACTGATGAAGGTTATAAGCATAGAGATACTGAGCCTTCTTTTGTATTCTATGAGAAATATCTCCATAGCCTTCACATCTTCCCCGAACAATCTGGATTTAAAAATCAGAAAAATTTAAACCAGTTATTTCTGGAGCTAGGTTTTGCCTTGTTGAAAGAGAAATCTTCCGTTGCTCATACAGCAACAAATAATGGTGAGCTTTAGATTACTTTGACATAATTTGTTAGTCTGAGATTCTGTGTGAATATGGAGGTTAAAATTCTGGGTTTGAACATTCTAACTCACTGCCTCAGTTTCTCAAATTTTACTCTTTTCCAGACCAGATGTTTGATGGAAATATACTAAATGTGTTTAATTACCCAGGCCTTGTTTCATCTTACTTAACAATGACCTTTTCTTCTCTCAATTTGTTAGCCAGTGTAGGATTTTCTAGCTTTCTCAGTTATTTAGGCTCACTAAAACTCTCATTTTTCATAAATTTGAATTGTTTAATATACGCTCTATTCAACAACTTTTGTTTTCATGTGAGCATCAAATTTTTAATGGACTTATTTTTCTTACATAATGCTAAGTGAGAATGGGCTTTACATCTCCTGGTTTTGAATCAGATGTAAGCAATTGCCTTTCACACCCACAACCCACATTGGCACTTAGGGATCACCCTCCTTTGTAGAACTCAATCAGATCATCTTTAGGGACCACTTAAATTTTTTTGGAGTTTGGCTGATGATAGTCTAGAAATCTTAAATCCAGTGAGTGTAAAATACTCTCTGGTTGTAATGAGTAAAAAACAAATTAAAAAAACCCTAGGCTATGAGAGCAAGTTAGAAAGTGAAAGCTCAAGGAGTATGTTTATATTGAATTTATATGACACTCAAAATACCTCAGAATCTTAGGTTAAGATTGGAGATTTTTTGTATCTCTAACTTCATCTTCCCTTAAAGACCTAAATAAAACCTGTTGAATTATTTAAAATATATGATTCCATGCAAATAAATTTCACCTAAGAAACCCACATTTCTTCTTCTTCAAAAAAGAATTCTCTACTTTTTTTAACGAGTCACGGGTCAAATTGCATTTTCTGAACATTTACATGGAGAAACCAGCATTGAAACTTTATAAAATCATAACAAAGATACCTGCATTAAATGAAAATATTCACAAGAATATTTGAATAACCAAGTACCTAAAATTGAGGGTCAGGACTTTAATTTTCCTAATTTGTACACGTGGATTATATTCCCCGCAAAAGAAGTTGGTGTCTGTTTAATATTTCAGACTTGTCTCTTCACAAACAAACTCTTTCCTTCCCAAGTATGCTTCTATTGATATGAAATTGTGCAGTGAATTAATATTTCATTGTTCTCACCTCTTTGGATGCAACAACAACAACAAAAAAATAAGCTGGGGAGGATTCATGTGACCACTAGAAAATGGGATTATTGATAAATGATATGGGAAATCAAATTACAATTAAGATCTTTAGTAAATTCACATTTGTGATCTAAAATATGGGAACTGATTCTGATATATAGAGAAATTGACAAAATTCACTTCCCAAATGGAAAAGAAATCTCTCCCTTCCCTGGTCTGACCTCCACTGTCTCCGTCTCTGGAAGTAGAAATAATATCAAAATACTGTGATCTCAGGTTAGCTTTTGTGTAATTGAAAATTATCAGCTTTCTGAATTCGATATATTTATAGTCTCAGTATCTTAAAGTCCTGAAGGCTGGGGTCACAGAGCAGAGATTGAAAAAAAAAAAAAAGAAGAAAAAAAAAAGGAAATGCCTTTTACACCTGAGAAATGGGCATGACAACAATTAACCATATTGATTTATCCAGCCATTACACAAGGATACATTTTTCTGGTTGTCAATTAGCCAGGTTTTTTGCTTCTACTATTGTTAAAACGGTCCTTGATCAAATCTCAAGGGACAGTCCTCCAACCAGAGGGCAGACAGTAAAAGGAAGTAAGGATGAAACACATCCATCCATCAATAGGACTGTGCTAAACAACTTTCATAATGGTGGGATTGAGAGCGATGTTTAAACTACTGGCAGTAATTTGAGATCACACAATAATTACTATCCCCAGAGTGATTCTCAGATGTATTTTTACTCCTGAAATCCACAGCCCTCACATTTGCATTAGGTGTTATTGCTACTTTGTTCCTCTTTGTTAGTCACACAATAATATTCAGCCCAGTGTGGGTGAAATTTAAATTTGGCAAAACACCAAGAGCATAGCCTTATTGTGTTCTCCAGGTAGAACTGGGTTCTAAATCTTTATCAGTTTGAGATTCCTCAATATTTATAATATGAAAATCTGGCACTGAATTGTTAATAAGTCACGAAATCCTGAAGGTTTTTATTTGCCGGACCAGCATGGAAAATGCAGCTGAAATGTTAAGACAATACTGATTTTGGATCAGAATGATAAGAATTATTT